TTATTAATTGATCTATCAGTTTTCATTTTTCTCTTAAAAATTCATTTACACCCAAATGGTTTACTCCCTCGAAGAAGATCTACCAACTCACAGGTGTGATTTTGCATAATACATTCAATTTCACTGTTTACAGCTTCTTTTCACATAGGTGTTTCAGGAGTGGACATCGCTTCATTAAAGATTTGAGACTCATTTTCTAACAATTATGATAGAAAATCTAGACTATAGGACTTGGACTTCAACTTTGAAAGTGGAGAAATTTTTCATAAAGATTTGTTCTCCATCATTAATTGCGTCATATAAGAGAACATCTTCTTATCCGAACATATGTGTCTAGTGGCTTCGGTGTCCACTCACCATTTATTGGTATTTTTCACCAAGTTCACTTGGAATACAACAGTAGAAAAACTCATGTTAGAAACATTTTCAAAAAAATATTCTACCTCAGTTATATTGGCTTGACAACCTTCCTCTTATAGTTCACTTGTGCTTTATGACTTCGATAATCTTTTGCACGATGTCCTAGTTTATTACACACAAAGCAGTTGTCTTTAAACCTTTTGAAACATTACCCTTGGTCCCTAGTTGGCCAACATACTTCCTTTTCTTGTTGATTTTATGTTCCTCTTCAATCACATGTGCCTTTGATTCTATGAAATGATTACCAACTTTCTTTTCGGAGACTCTATTGTTCTCCTCAATCTTGTAATCAAGTCTTGAAGTTTTATTTCTTTGCGTTTGTGCTTCAAATAATTTTTGAATTCCTTCCAATTTGACGGTAGTTTCTCAATAATTGCAGCAACTTGGAAAGATTCACTAAACACCATCAATTCAGCATGAATCTCATGTAGGATCACTTGAATATCTTAAATTTGACTTATAATAGTCTTGAAATCTATCATTTTGTAGTCAAGAAATCTGCCCATAACAAATTTTTTCATTCCGGCATCCTCCATCTTGTACTTTTTATTATCCAAAGATTCTCATAGCTCTCTAGGCTTCTTGATTGGACTATACACATTATATAATGTATTATCCAATTCATTGAGGATATAATTTTTGCATAGAAAATCAAAGTGATTCGATGCATCCATCGCAGCAACTACTTGACAGTCGGTCTCATTCTCATTACAAACAAGAGTATCCTCACGAAAAATTTTTGCAAGATTCAATGTAGTAAGATAAAACAACATTTTTTGTTGTCATCTCTTGAAATCATTTTCATTGAACTTTTCAGGTTTCTTCATATGAGACACATGAATAGGAACAAAAATAGGCACCATAAGCACAACATGATTTGTAATAGTAGAAACATTATTATCATTTACAGCTATTTTTGATAAACAAAGATTATAAGATATTCAAAATTAAGAAACTAGTAACATTTTTCAAAGTAATTTATTAAAACATAGACAAGTCAAGTTACTGTTCAGTGTCACTGTTTGGTGTAACTATTTAAATCAGAGTCATTATTTTGTGTAACTATTTAAATTAAACACATAAACATAATATGTAATTTTTCACAAAAATGTTCACGTCTTTTTTATATATCACAGATTGTAAACAAAACAAGTTTTAACAATTTACAATATTTTAAAACAATCTAAACATGTATCAGAAACACAACAAGTAACTATACAAATTGAAATTTGTCTTAAGATTGTTGGCTGTGGTATTTCAAATATAGTAAAATCACTTATTATAATTTCTGATTTGAAACATGTAATGTGTAACAAAACAGTAACAATCAAGTGCGAAATAGTTACACATAAACAATCTTACACAAAAGAGTTACAAAAATCTTACGAAACAGTAACAACAAAGAGTTACTCATAAATGAAAAAGTCACATAACTTTTTTCCCAAACTAATATAAGTACTAACCTGATTGCAGAACAAGAACTGTTATTGAAGTTGATGTAGATCAAGACTAGTGTTTGACACTATATCTTCAAGACAGATTTCGCCCTTACACTGATTTTTACAAGATACAATGATTTTTGCACGAGCAGAAGTAGCACTCTAATTTACTCGTCCAGCGAACAAAGAATTGTGTTGTGTACTCTCCAACATGCTACTTTAATGCCGATATGCAAATTGTAATGTACTAATGTTTGCCTTAATGCCAAAAATGGTCTGAATAATGAATTAATAAATGCATGCATGAATTAGGTATTTATAAACCTTTTGGTGACTTTCCAAACAACCATTATACTAAAAGGCACAACCCAGAAGTTAAAATACAACAGCCAGAAGACACCTCCAGTAACTGTTCTCAATGAACAGTCACAACTTAGAATTTTGGACTAGTGGAAAGCAGAAATCCAAACCAATGCGATCCAACGGGTACCGAAAATTGGTCGATATATGTTTATGTTGAATTTCTTCTTCAACCAATATGGGATTGGTGTCAAATCCCACATTACATAACTTTTACTTTCACAATTTAAGAGGGCCATTTTGAAGCCTATTTTCTCATTCATTTCTTATTCGATTTGAGCAAGTGAATATAATATATTATTCTTCTCACAGAGTGAAATATGAACCTACGAAAATTTATTCAAAATAACGAACGGGTCCCACTTGAATTTAGGTTCAAAATCAACAAAAAATTTAATTTTTACACTTAAAAAAATTATTTTAGTCCAACAAAATGAGTAGGTTTTCATAAATCACAATAGAATAGTAGCATGAGAGATGGGATTTGTACCAACTTTAGAGATGGGCACCCAAGCACTCAGGTCATTCTACAGAAACATATAGCATCTTTATATAATCAGGTGACAAGCCAAGAATTGAAGCTTTGCAGAACCATATCGCATACAATTGATGCTCATGTAAGAGTGTTAGCTTTTTGGACAGTCACAATAATAATCTTTGGCCAAAAGGTAATTTCAGAAAATTAGGGGGTCATGCACTAATTGGCCGACAAATATAATACAAAAAAACAATTTATCTACGCAGTACATTGGATGTTTTAGGTTCAACGTTTTTTATACCTTTTAAAAATTAGTCACCCTTGTTTCTTAGGAAATATGTTCTAAACCAATTTAGACTATAGTAGCCAGTATCCTAACTTAATAAAATAGTCGACACACGCCTGAATACTCTGCATCCAAAGAAAAAAAAAACNGTACTCTCCAACATGCTACTTTAATGCCGATATGCAAATTGTAATGTACTAATGTTTGCCTTAATGCCAAAAATGGTCTGAATAATGAATTAATAAATGCATGCATGAATTAGGTATTTATAAACCTTTTGGTGACTTTCCAAACAACCATTATACTAAAAGGCACAACCCAGAAGTTAAAATACAACAGCCAGAAGACACCTCCAGTAACTGTTCTCAATGAACAGTCACAACTTAGAATTTTGGACTAGTGGAAAGCAGAAATCCAAACCAATGCGATCCAACGGGTACCGAAAATTGGTCGATATATGTTTATGTTGAATTTCTTCTTCAACCAATATGGGATTGGTGTCAAATCCCACATTACATAACTTTTACTTTCACAATTTAAGAGGGCCATTTTGAAGCCTATTTTCTCATTCATTTCTTATTCGATTTGAGCAAGTGAATATAATATATTATTCTTCTCACAGAGTGAAATATGAACCTACGAAAATTTATTCAAAATAACGAACGGGTCCCACTTGAATTTAGGTTCAAAATCAACAAAAAATTTAATTTTTACACTTAAAAAAATTATTTTAGTCCAACAAAATGAGTAGGTTTTCATAAATCACAATAGAATAGTAGCATGAGAGATGGGATTTGTACCAACTTTAGAGATGGGCACCCAAGCACTCAGGTCATTCTACAGAAACATATAGCATCTTTATATAATCAGGTGACAAGCCAAGAATTGAAGCTTTGCAGAACCATATCGCATACAATTGATGCTCATGTAAGAGTGTTAGCTTTTTGGACAGTCACAATAATAATCTTTGGCCAAAAGGTAATTTCAGAAAATTAGGGGGTCATGCACTAATTGGCCGACAAATATAATACAAAAAAACAATTTATCTACGCAGTACATTGGATGTTTTAGGTTCAACGTTTTTTATACCTTTTAAAAATTAGTCACCCTTGTTTCTTAGGAAATATGTTCTAAACCAATTTAGACTATAGTAGCCAGTATCCTAACTTAATAAAATAGTCGACACACGCCTGAATACTCTGCATCCAAAGAAAAAAAAAACACCGGAGGCTGCTTTACAACAAGAACTATGTCATCTTAAGCCTTAACTAGATGTCAAGTGGACATCATTTTTTTAGGACCCCAAAAAATCATAGATTCTTTGGCTTTCATTCCCTTGCTATTTCTCATATTCAATTTCACAGAATTGACATGGGTCAGATCATCGGGCAAAGTTGATCAGTGGCCAAAGAAAAAACATAGATACTTTGAATCATTGTACTGAGATCTCTAAACCTTACTGGATGTAGAAGATGATTTAAAACTAGAAGATGATGCTGTTAGACCAGTCTTCCCTGCAAGCAAAGCAAATGCCTTTTTGCAGAAAAACTCATAAGCTAATCCAAGGCAGCAACTTATATAATCGAATATTCTTTAAGCCTATTGCATCAGCTGTGGGATGGTCATACCTATTTCTACATATCTCCTGGTGATCTGGAAGTCAATAAGATGGCTATGTTTTGGATTCCTTCTGCAGTGCATGCACTCGTGCACCCACACCTGATTTTTGCATGCTTTTAGTATCTTCGGATGTATTATTTGTGAACGATGTTCTTTCGTTTGGACACAATCCGGTTTAGGATCATGCCAAAACGATTCTACAAAGTAAAATCTTGCATAAAACCTGAGTTTATATTTTGCCACAGAGATCATGCAAATAGCCCAAAAGTAAACAAGAAGAGCTTGGCATAGAAATGTAGTACGATAAGAGTTCATAAACACATTACTATATATCACATATCTATATCATCCCACAAATTCTGCTATTTAACTTCGAAATAGTCTTGCTTGCGGTTCATGACCTAGGTGACCACGGATTTGAATATAACTGTTAAAGGTATGCCCAATACCTAAGGTCTCTTTTCGGTTTCAAAGAGGTGTCAAACCAGAAAGGAATATAGATACTGGTCATCCCTTAAGAGATGCCTGAAGGGCACAAAACTAAAACAAGAGATAGAGCTAGAGCTGGGGTTAAAGATGGCACGGTTTTAGCTTTCTCGCTTTGATCTTACTGTACAACCAAACGATTACCATAATATGTTACAACCAAACACGAGTACTGTAATATTATACACCAAAATTAGTATACAATGAAACCAAACATAAGGAGTTGAGAATCATATCATCTGTCTGACCAACCTTTCTGCTGCTGTCCATCCCCATTGTTCATCAATTTATCCAGCACCACATTAAGGTCCACCGACTGTCCATTCTCAGTCAATTTCCTCGCTGTCGCTCTTGCCAAGTCTCTCCGGAATCCCATGGCTGTAACCCTTTCAACAACATCATCAATCGGAAGCCTGTTTCCAGCTGTCCCAGAACCTGATCCACCGTCCACACTAGAGGCAGTTGGCAGTGCATATGGTATCACTGGGGCTTTTGGGGGTCGTTCATAATCAATTCCATCATCCATGGCTGAGGAAGTAAAGCGATGTAAGGGTCTCATGGTTGAACTACTGGAGTGCGAAAAAGATCCACCATAAGGATGCATTTCATTGAACTCAGCAGGCTCAGGTGTCTGAGTATACCCGGTAGGAAGCTCCGAGCAAGACCTCTTCAAGTGTTGACTCTGCATAGCCTGAGAGGAAGCCATGTGGAAATTCTGGGAAGGTGCCCCACCGGCCGGCTGAAATGAGGAATCCTTAATTCTTGGGGTGTAGATATGGGATGTCAGGTACGACTTTTGTTCACGTAGATAGCCTGATGGAGGACGGTTCTGAGGATTAAATGCACCAAGAGGTAGCTGCAGTTGCGGCAGTTGGGAAGAGTGTGAGACTTGAGGAAGTTGAGGGGCCGACTGATATGGATGGTAAGGCGCTGAAGGCGGTGGCTGTGCCAGCTGAGTTGCAGGTATATCATATTGCTGATAAAGGTTTTGTGAAGCTTGCCCAGATGGTGGGTAGAAAAATTCAGACTGTAACATAGGAGGGATTTGGTTCTGGGGAATTTGGGGAGAAACTGGTGCTAGTACGGATGCTGCAGATGGGAATGTAGTTTGATTGGGAACAGTTGAGATATTAGGGGGGAGAGCAGGATGATCAAGTAGAAGAGTACCAGAATTCGGAATTGGCGGGCGAGACTGTTGAGGAGAAGTTGATGTTTCTTGCTGTGCTGATTTAGCAGTGCTTTTGTTTTCTGATTGTAGGGAACCTTTTGAAACTTGAAGCTTATCAAGCTGAACCTGAGTTTCTGCTATTTCTTGTTTATCTCTTAAAAACTGTACACCATCTTGAACCTGCACGAAATTGCTTATATTGCTTATTGTCACTTAAGGGGGGAAAATAATCGATTGGTTTGACTAAAAGATCCTCAATTCTCGCTTTGCAAGAGGTTTAACTATAGAAAATGATTGTTAGGATATCAGTCAAAATTTGCTCAATTTAAGTAACACGGGCTTTCCATCATGACTAATAACAATTTGTAAGAGACCAAATACAATATAAATCAGGCCCCCTTGCACAGTGGATCACAATATGATTACCATACATTAGATTACAACAGTACTGCATAACAATAATATCCTTGGCATCTTTCTAATAATGACAGTAAACTAATTTTAAGAGTAGAACCATGGTTATCACAATTCACTAACCTTTAACGACCCATGATCTAGGTACATCGATCCCAAACGAGGTGGGTTCGCGATCCAGATTACCAGATTACCAAAATGGACGACCCCAAATTGTAAGACTAACCCTAAATTAAATCGCTTTAGAACATGTAGTACAAATATAAAATACATATTAATTGACTACATATAAATAGATTTATAATTATATATTGTTTTATATAATAGAAAATCAAGCATAACTATAAGATTAGTGGAAATTAGCTTTGTGTTTATGAATATTATATATAATGTTGTATAGTAGTGAAAACGATTTACATAAAAGTTCTAAAACGAATTGCGATCCAAAATACTATACCAGCTAAACCTACTCCCATTATATTGCATACCTAAGAAAGTGCCGTACCATATACCCGTACCCGTGTCACGTACCAAAGCAACTCAGGATCCAAGTAACACTGGGTTAAACTCTATGCGGATGAACCATATATGAGATTCGATGTGTGAAGTCTTGTTTCACTATTATAACTGAAATCACAGACAAAAATTATGTTTTGTTTCTTCTTCACTAACACGACTGAAAAATTTTGTTTTCAGGGGAAACCGAAAGGAACCAGTGTGATTCAATTTCAAAATTCTTCTATTTCAAGGTTAGGAATGTTTCACCTTTCAAGGCATTTCGAATGTTTTGGCCAATGTTTCAAGAGCAAATTTTTGATATCTTTCTCTATTTCCACTATGTTTTCTAGATGTTTCAAAAATGTTTTTGCTTTTGAGCTGGCCAAAAATATACACCAAAACAAAATAATTTTGATCCTTCAATGAAATATTATGACATGACATCTAGAAAAAATAATTGATTCACTATAACAAAAATTCACATTTCAGATGGGCAGGGATTTTTGTCTGTAATCCTGGGTTTACTAGTAAGTGAAACTAAAAGTGAAGCAATTTGGTCAGCTCTCCAACCTCAGACCAAGAACTAGACCAAATTAACAGGAGAACTGAACCAGTGCCAATAACTGAGGTCAGGTTGGTCGGTTCTTGGGCAAACATCCAGAGAGGCATCCCAGTTGCAATCAGTTCCAATATCCAACTGCATGACCTAAGTTTCCCTTCAAAGAGGTGCAGGTTGACTCTATACCCTTTAATATCACAACCAGGTCAGTTCTGCAACCTCAAACGAAGAAATGCAACAAATATGCCAGAGAACCAAACAATTGTCCACCCATTGAGGTGAAGTTGGTCCATTCTTGGATTAAAATTGAGGGATGCATCCCAGTTGGAATCATGTCAGTTCAACTGCATAGCCTAATTTTCCCTTCACAAATCAGCACTGTGGTTCGGTATCCCTAACACCATTCTTAGGCCAACTAGCATAACTTCCTTTCCTCTGGTCTTACCTAATGGAAAACTGAAGGTCCCCATCAAAAAATTATGCCGGCAAATATCATAATTGCAGCTTCACAGAATTCAAATCTTGTTAATTTTTAATTATTTTAATGCAATGATGATCAATACTAACATGATAATTTATGAAAGCATCACAAAAGTGAAATATACCTCTTGGAGAATATTCTCTAACTGCCTCAGTTTTCCATCTGTCCTCCCATAATTATATTCAGCAGAGACCTTTAGATCATCTATGGCATTCTCAAGCCGGTGTGTTTTAGTCTCCATCTGGGAGAGTCTCAGGCTAAGATCCTCTATCAAATGTAGCAGTTTGTCAAAAAGCTCCTTCATTTTCCGGTCAATATTGGAAATTAACGCCACATCATAGGAGTTCCTGATTTCCTGTTGGGCAGCTTCAACAGATTGAATTCGGTCCATAGAACTGCAATTCTGAATGCATCATCGAAACAGCTCTTTAGAAGCACAAGAACACATGAAGAACAACTCAAAGGAAGGCATCAACAACAGTAAAACAACTTGAAGAGAGAATATAAGTGACACCAAAAAGCATACGCCACCTCAGCAGAAATTTCAAGCTCAGTACACCTCTTGGAACCCGTTTATAGTGATTTAATTAAACCCTTTATCCACCCTCAATATGGAATTGCGCAATGAGACAGATGGATACAGGAAGCAGAATAAACTTGGACGTCCAACTTAACATTAAAAGCAACTCACAAAAATCTATTACATGTGGCTCCAATGGGTTTGAGAGTTGATGATATTATCTCAGTAACAAGGACCACCAATGAAATCAAATGGTAGAGGAATGCAGCTCCACAAATAATCATATTAAGTACTACAATAAGGAAGAAAACTGCCTGCCAGGAGGGGTTGGTGGTTGAGGGGCTGTATAAGTGAATGAATTTTGGCTTCAGATCTGGTGTCTACATGAATAGAGCTTAAATTCAGATAACGGAATTATGATTATAAATGCATCATCATCCAATGCCCCACACCTGGAAATTATCAGTGCAATATAGCAAACAACTTTCTTTGGACACCAACTACTGCTTGAACACATTAACACGAACAAATTTCACCAAATTATAAGAGCTCAATAATAGGACCCAAAAAAAAGAGCTCAAGACTAAATCATTACTGAAACACCACTATCACAGGCACACCTACCCCAACCCCACCCCCGCAGAGAGAGAGAGAGAGAGAGAGAGAGAGAGCACAAATGGAACCCCAGTTACCAATAAGTTCAACCCATTAACTATCAGTTCACCCAATTACTAACCAACATCAAGAACCCAAAAGTCATCATCCTAGATAAAAACCCCCCATTTATTTCTACAACGCTCATCTATTCTAACAAAGTAACTAGAAAAATGTAGTCACATGAGATTCACAGACAGACCACCACTCACACCTATGCTGCACACACAAATACTCAGATCTTACTCTGAGAGTAGAAAGGTGAGACTGTGAAGGCCCGAGGGGACGAATGAGATTATAATCATCATCTTCTTCGTCACTGCCTTCCAGAAGGCTAGAGAAATGAGAGAAATCTTTGGTTTGGGAGATAGATAGTTCTGTTATCTGCTTATCCATGAACTCTGAGGTCTTCATTGGTTTGACATATATGATATAACCCAAATTCTTTGCTACCACAACTTGAGTCTCTTCTTCTTCTGCTATGCTGCTCTTGAGAAGTAACCAAAGAGCACAAGGCAGCAGACTTGCAGGTACAGGTACAAGTACAACCAATAGCCACGGTGGCCAAACAGTAACCTGTTTGGGCCATATCTGGGCTAATTTAACAGTAACCTGTTTGGGCCATAACAGTAACCTGTTTCTATTTCGGGCTAATTTACTGGGCTACCTTCACGGGCTTTAACGGGGTCAGTTACCGGACCTAATAGTCCAAAATTAGGATTCTTTGCTTTCGGACTGCTCACATATCATCAGGTGACGGGCCTAACCGACCCATGTCCTGATGGGCATTGTTGGATTAATGGACCAGCCCGTGAACCATAAGCTATTTGCTTAGGTCCAAAAGCCTTTTTCTTTTTAACAATACTTGGTAAAAATGTAGAGGACTAATTGCACTTTGCCCCCTGAAAGATGCCCAAAATTTTAATTTATACCCTCAAAGACTTGGATTCTCAATATGCACGTTCAATGTGTCAAAAACGATGCAATTTGCACCAGTCCTAAATGTCCGTTCAATTTGCCATCTAAAAACTCAGCACACGACTTGCATGTGAGTCTTGCAAGGACTGAATTTTAAAAACACTCATTTGGCACCAAATTGATGTTGGCTTACCTTTTTTCTTCGTATAAGAGGTGATTGACTGGCCAAAGAAGGTCTGTTATGCAAGGGAAGAAGAGGAAGAAAAATTTGGAAAAAAAACAAAAAGATAAAAAACAGAGATGAAAATCGAAGAGACGAAGGGCGCCAATGAAGACCTCATGGACAAACCTAAACCTTGAGAGGATGTTTAGGGCTTGCGATAATTATGGTGTACCTACAACTTCACATCTCATTAGAATTTTAGCAATATTCTTCCAATTGATGAAAGCAGATGTGACATTTAGACCATTTCTACTCATCCATTTTTCATGCAGTATGGATTATGCTTGTTCTTTTTCAATTGATTTTTTTTTTTCAAAAAGTATTTTTTTTTTGGAATTTTCTTTGCACATTTTCATCAAAATTGAAATTATTATATTTTTCAAAAAAATCTTGTATTTTAAACAAATATTTGTATTTTACACATGTAGGAAGGTGGTCCATGTGGTTATTTTGCTTGGCTTGATCCACCTATGTGTATTTGAGCATGACAGATAATACTCAATTTATTACGTTGTGTAACAAACTTGGAGACACTGGAGAGACACAGAAGAAGGTCGAGAATATTGTGGGTATGTTTGGTTGGTTCTTGGCTGCCCATGATTCTAATTTGCTACAATATGAGTGCCCTCTATAGATGGTGTTGATGGAGAGCTTTCAAATGGTAGTTGAGTAGTGAAACTAATGAAGATGGATGTAATGATTTATGACATAGTTCTTTAGTGTATGAGTATTGTAATGATATTCTGTTGTAATGAAAATGGATTGTAATGAATATAAAAATCAACCCACACAAATCTCATAGCTTGCTGCTGACAAAACAAATCAAACCTTTTACACAATCAACCATAACAAAGATGCAATGCAAACAATGAACCAAAGCCCGGCACAAGCACAAAGAATAAAGTAATCAAATGAAAACCCCCCAACCAACATTAACTCACAGACCCACACAACAAAGAATATACTATGACTTTGAAAACAACCACATAAAAAGCAAGAAAAGCACATGCACACCATGAAACTTGAACCATCCAGATGGAAACAGAAAAAAACCCTTTACCATAAAATGGTGCATCCTGTTCAGGAGGTATATCATTAGCAACCTGGATTGTGTGTTTTTCTAAGAATGAGAGAGGGGTTTATCAAGCAAATAGATATCATATGTTAGTCAATTCATTGCTTCAAATGTAAAATTTGTGAAAATCTCAGTCTTTGGAGGTACAAAGTAAAAATTTGTGCATCGTTAAGGGGGCAAAGTGCGATTAGTCCAAATGTAAATGAAATCTTATCAATGATATACCTTACCCTAAACCAATTCTTGTCACCCCTCATTTTGTTTAAACTTATTTTCTTTTCTACGGCAATTAAAGAATTTNCGATTGTGTGTTTTTCTAAGAGTGAGAGAGGGGTTTATCAGGCAAATAGATATCATATGTTAGTCAATTCATTGCTTCAAATGTAAAATTTGTGAAAANGGATTGTGTGTTTTTCTAAGAATGAGAGAGGGGTTTATCAAGCAAATAGATATCATATGTTAGTCAATTCATTGCTTCAAATGTAAAATTTGTGAAAATCTCAGTCTTTGGAGGTACAAAGTAAAAATTTGTGCATCGTTAAGGGGGCAAAGTGCGATTAGTCCAAATGTAAATGAAATCTTATCAATGATATACCTTACCCTAAACCAATTCTTGTCACCCCTCATTTTGTTTAAACTTATTTTCTTTTCTACGGCAATTAAAGAATTTTTTTTTTTTTTTTGATACCTTCAATGGAAAATTATTAAAAATAAGCAATGCTACTTGAACCAAACCTGTTGACCGATGAATTGTATTAATAGTGGACTCTGATATTAATTAGGATTTGTTGTCAATTCAATGACTGTAATATATAAAGTCAATAAATTATGTCTAAGTAGCATTTTTCATTTAATATTGAGGATGAGCATAAAAATTTGACCATTAACAATATGGGTGGGAGACTATTCTCATCCCACAAGTATCCACTCCCACTCCATTTAGTTTTTTATTATCAAACTATTAAATCACCCCTTATATATCCACCCATTAGTAACTAAATCCATTCATTCTATACACGCCCCTTATATATCTTCTCACATCTTAGGTTTCTTTCACTATCTTATCTCATACACAATCTACACAAAAGTGTTTTTTCAATATGGATTTCTCTAGTGAGATACAGATTAGTACTAATTCTCATTTTAATTTTATGTTTAATTTCATGTGTGTTGTGTAAATTTTCATATATTTATTGTTGCGTTTTAGTATCTATGTCAAGTTTAATAATTTTTTATTTAAGATTTATATTTGTGTGCGTATATATATATATATGTGTGTGTGTGTGTGTGTGTGTGTGTGTGTGTGTGTGTGTCTTCAAGTTTTATGATACAAAGGAGTAGAACAATTAATTAAAGAAAAAAAAAAATCTAAGAACTAATAAGATGTTTGAGATGAAATGTTGAGCATATAAATTTGTTGATGTTCATGAGCTAATCACCCATTTACATATAGTGTGAGAAAATATGGAGGTGAGAATAATTTATGATTAAAGTTTTTTTTTTTAATTGGGTGATAATTGCAAGTTGAATGGTATATTAAATGGGTATGTATAGTATGGGGTGGGTTTAACAGTTTGATAATAAAAAATTAAATGAGGTAAAAATGGATAAGTTGTGGGGGTGGGACTATTCCGACCCTAATTCTATTCACCAAGGAATAAAAGATAGAAGGGTAATTTCTCCTCCCTTTCCTATACCATGGGCAATATTTTTAGAGCCATTACTTATGGAAAAGACTGTCATTCTCCCTACATCCAGTGCAACAATAACAGAAGCCAAAACTAAGCAATCCAGAACAACAGCCAAAAGAAAAAGGAAGAGACCATGAAACACACTTCTCTTAATTCTTNTCAAGGAATAAAAGATAGAAGGGTAATTTCTCCTCCCTTTCCTATACCATGGGCAATATTTTTTAGAGCCATTACTTATGGAAAAGACTGTCATTCTCCCTACATCCAGTGCAACAATAACAGAAGCCAAAACTAAGCAATCCAGAACAACAGCCAAAAGAAAAAGGAAGAGACCATGAAACACACTTCTCTTAATTCTTTTGTTGGGATGAAGACACTTCACTACACAAGCTTTATTGACTTTTACACACAGTGATTCACAAATCTTGGACAGGGGAATCTCTCTCTGTACTTTAAACTTCAAAATGAGTACTCAATTACAGATAATTTGGATGAATTAGACCATGGAACTTGAANTTGACTTTTACACACAGTGATTCACAAATCTTGGACAGGGGAATCTCTCTCTGTACTTTAAAATTCAAAATGAGTACTCAATTACAGATAATTTGGATGAATTAGACCATGGAACTTGAATTGTGACCATATGATCATCATAACTGAAATCCAAACCAACTCCATTTACCCGGCAACATATCGGTTCCTTGGATGCAAAAACTCTCATCTCCCCACTTCCTCTTACCCCTACTCTTACTGAATTTTCATGATCATCATAGACTAGTGACTGAATTGCACCTCCAGTGTTGAGCATGTTCACCAATCCAATAGGTGCAAACTGAACTAAATTTCTTGTTAGTACTGTCACAGGAGAAACTGTCAGAAGCTCATAGTTAAATGGCTGGAGGGAAATTTCAAGGTTTTCTGTTGACTTCAAGAGCTGTAGCTGCCTCTTCTGATACATGTACACAGCAAATAACTCCACTCCTTTTGTGGGAATTGGGTTCTTTCCATTGTTCCACTCGATCTCTTTAGGACTGGCCAAACATTTCAGAGTCACTGAAAGTTCAATGGCGCTTTTGTTTCGACGTGATATGGGGCACCATCCACCCCCTTGGCAGTTAAAGACCCCGAGAATCCCAGTAAACTGTGTCAAATACAATCCAAAACAACACTGAGTCAGTATAATGGTTGATGAATTTTCACTAAATTTACTGTATTAGGTGCACTCTGCTATACATTAACCTCCATAGTCTAATGGATGAGAAACCATCTAAAAGAGGAATTTTCAGAAGAATTCCTTACTTTGTTGAGGTTCCAAATCTTGAGCATAGTTTTCCCATCATGCAATGGGTCTTCAAATAGGCAGTCTCTAGTAGGAAGTGCATAATGTTGGCATCGTAGGATTGACCCGTCAGGCAACACTATGCTCTTAAGCAACTGGAAGTTGTGTTTTCCAACAGAGTCACTCACATAGATAGGCCCTCCAGAAATTGCTCTCGAGGCAGCATGGAATTCAGCACAAGGATGTGTAGATTGGAACATGTCCCAATCAGGGTGTATGAAATTCCCCATCCACAAGCTGTTGTAGGCACAGTGCACCGTGTGACACCCTTGTAGCCAGAAAGTCCCATTTGGATCACCAGATGGATCAGTGCACCAAAAGTCATCTCCTATAAGTATTAACATGAAACATTGAGTCTTCTAGTGTACTATAATTTCAGAAAGACGATAAAGATTACAAAACAGAATTGTTACATTACAACTATTAATGCAGTTCTGGACCGCAGAGTCCATTTTTTTGCCTTTTAACAGCATGTTCTTGTCAAGTAAGTATCGATCGAGTCTAAAAGGTTCTCATTTTCTTTCCGTCAAACGGGAAGAACAACTTGAAGTAGATTACTCATCGAACTATTTGAGTACATTATTTGAACCATACCTACACGGCCTAACGATATGGACTCTGTCCCGAGGAACATGAAGTCGTTACAGTGCTCCATGCTAGCAATGACACCATTCCCTTTAAAATGTTTCTTCACAGAAGCAGTTAGTGCATTGTAATAGGCCTTGGCGAGCTCAACACGACCACCATATTCCTCAGAGAGCATCTCTAGCAACTGCATGATAGCAAACACAGTGATTTAGATATCTTTATAGGAATAAAATTATTCACCTAACACACTAACACACCAATAAGCTTTAGCTCAGTTGATGAGTTCATGCTCTCATTTTGAGTCAAGAGATAGATAAATAGACACATCCCATTACAGTAATTGAGGGCGTGCTTAGTTGGAATCTGATTCTAATTTAAAATTCTTGTGGTTTTGGAGGATCTAGCTATAGGAGAATTAGGAACGGAGAGTTTTTCCTCCTTTTCTCCCCGGCTTTGGTTTTTTGGAGTGATAGTGGAAAAGTTGAAAGATATGGAAACTTACATGTATCACATCCACCTTGACACCATCAATCCCTGCCGATTCAAGATGTGAGTGCAACCCCTCGTACATCTCATGGACCTTTTCCGGTGGGACCAACCCAACTCCATTGTTCACAATCTTGTCCACGGCCAGATCCTCCATGGTCATCTGCAAACCCTCTGATAGTTTAGGACCAATGACCCTACACTCGGGCATACCCGGTACACCGGGGCGTAACCCGCCCCAATACCCACAAAGTGCATGCCATACATACACATGCTCTATGCTCTTAAACTCCTCCTTAAGGTCCCTCACAAAGGCACCCATGCCCTTGTTGGAGGGTACCCTAGGACTCTGGTAGTCCCTAAACTTGTAATTCTCTTCAAACTTCATTAATCTGCATGGCATTTGTTCACCAGCTTCTGTTCTGTTTATGCCTTCTTGATCAGTTATGGGGTCATCATCATGGCATATGGATTGCCACCCATCATCTATTAGGACCAACCCTGGAGGGCACCCACCCTCTACTAGACCCTTGACCCCCTGCCACACCCCTTCAGGGTGTACCCTAAGATAAAAGGCATCCCAAGTGCACCATCCAAATTTGTCCACAATACCTGAAGACCAAAATTCACTTTAAATGAAATAGTCAAAAAATATATATGATACAAAATTTATGACTCTTCATAGAGTACAATAACGAAACAAAATCTAAGCAATCGATCTCAAAATATCGAGACAAAGATTTGTTGAGTAAGATTGAGTTGAACCTGGAGGACACTTTTCTTCCATAAGCCTAAAGGTCCCCAAATGGACCCTAATGACCTTCATGGCTTCCTTGACCAATTGATATGGGTCATCACCAATATGCATGTACATGCAACTCCTGAAGCTGGAGCTGCTGACATGGCTGGATCCACTCTCCACGCAGATGTCCACGTCATCATCCATGCCAGGCTGCAATGAAGCTCTGAAGGGTCCTTCAAGGAGTGGAAGTAGTAAAACATAGGGGCGTCCCAAGTCGGATTTGTCAAGGATCATCATTTGGGTCTCATGTTCAACATCTTTTCCACCATTGCCAACCCAATGAGTAGTCCACCAGACTTTGAATCTGAATATGCTCATGAACCTTATGTCCCTCAGCTTGCCGGTGGGGACCACGTGCTGGCTTTTTGGCTCGTCTGCATCAAAGCCAACGAAGCATCCGACCATGCTCTTGGACAACAAGTCTTTGGAGGTAAATGGAGAAGGTGTTGCTATGATGTTAGTAGGGACATCAGTGAGAACGGGGTGGCCATTGGCCAAAAATTCTGATCCTTCAAGGGTGATTGACAGTGGTTTCTTATCATCCTCATCCTCATCCACAAGCACCATTACTTCTGGGGCATTTTTGCTCAAGCTTGGAGCCATGAAAGAGAATGGGTTATTTTTTCTCACAAGCTTGTAAATGAGAGAGAGAGAGTTAAGGTGTGAACAATGCAAGAAAGGGAGAGTGGTTTATATAGACAAAATTGAGAGAGAGAAATGGAATCTGAAGGTGGTATATAACGTTAACCTTTAGCAAAGCTTGGTGGTAGTTTGCTTGTGCAGTTGTGCGTGGAAACTAACTACAAGTTGGAATGAATCTTGCTTTCATGGGGCATTTTAGTGGCAACCTTTTTTTGTAACGGTACAACTGTCATTTCGATATCTTCTTTGAAAGGCTGGATCAAATGAAACCCATCTCAAAATGAATAGAAGAGACTATCAAGAGCCTCGATCAATTTGGCCATGCCTGTGAATTCTAGTGTGGAGAACTGTGTGGATTGGGGCTTTGGCCAGGTCGGTGGGGTAACTTAAACCATATGAATATTAAAATCATTAATATTCACAAGAGTATAGTTTCATTAATAAAACATCATAATTCATATACATTAGCACTATACAAAAATAGTCAACAAAAAAAAATACTCATTATAAATTTATTTTAAAGACATACCGAAAAAATTTGAACTAAAAAATTGGGTTTAATTATATATAGTTGAATTTTAACAAACAATCGAAACAAACATAAACTTAAATATCAATCTGTGTGGGTCCAAAGCTTTTTCATTTTCTATGTGAGTTGCAAGTGATATTGGGACCTGATTATTTAGGATTTGATTTGAGTAACATAGCATTTATATATATACATTTCAAGTGACTCTTACTGAACACTTAACTCTAAAAACATATAATTATTTGTAAACCGACATACATTTCGGGTAAATTAGTATATCTTTAACAGCATATTTAACGTTGACTTAAATTNCATTTCAAGTGACTCTTACTGAACACTTAACTCTAAAAACATATAATTATTTGTAAACCGACATACATTTCGGGTAAATTAGTATATCTTTAAGAGCATATTTAACATTGACTTAAATTTAAATTTAAAAAAAGAATAAGACACGAAGATGATCCTAACTTGAGATAGTTTAAAGTAGTAACCAATGAAGTCTTTTATCATTGTCTCATGTACTAAACATTGATCGATGTGATACTGTAAAGAATCTCAATTCTTAGGCTGTGATTCAAGATAAGAAATAAAAGATGTCCAACGGATTCGATTGGAGCCACTCTTATCGGAGGTCATAGCTGAGAGATCACAATACAACGAAAGATACAAGTACTTTAATAATGGGATGATCATGTGGTCACAAATCATTGTAAGAATTAGAGCCTTTTGATACAATTTTTTTATGATAGTTGTGTTCACTTTAACGAAAAAAACGTATTTTGAAAATAAAAAAAAAAGGTTATTTGCTGTCTCAAATACTATTTGAGATAGGTCATTACCGCGATAAAGACTTTTGAGACTCCNTAAAAAAAAGGTTATTTGCTGTCACAAATATTATTTGAGATAGGTCATTACCGCGATAAAGACTTTTGAGACTCCATTTGTTATTAGTNAAAAAAAAAAGGTTATTTGCTGTCTCAAATACTATTTGAGATAGGTCATTACCGCGATAAAGACTTTTGAGACTCCATTTGTTATTAGTTGCCATAATAAGTTGAGTTTTAAAAAGTTTTTATGGTAGCAACAAACCGTCTCAAATAGTATTTGTGATAGTAAATAACTTTTTATGATAGTACTATGGCCATAAATTTTTTTTTTTTTTTCAGAAATACATTTTTTTGTGTGAGAGTGAACGCAGTTGTCACAAAAAAAAACCCTCTTATTCTAGTGAAAGGTGAGGGGGGAGTTCTTTAAAACCTATTTTATTCTTTGGGGGACCACTCAAGTAAACTTCATGGTCTTGGCTATGAGTATGACTAACTTGTAGAATGTTTAAAGATCTTGGAGTTGCTCTTACTTTTCTTTCATGTCTCTTATCGTTCTTTCTCGACCCTTCGTTGCTTTTCTAGACGTTTCCTAGAGTCTTTACTCCATTTTTGTTTGATTCCAATTGATTTTATGACAGGTTTTTATCCGNTCCGGCTTTGGTTTTTTGGAGTGATAGTGGAAAAGTTGAAAGATATGGAAACTTACATGTATCACATCCACCTTGACACCATCAATCCCTGCCGATTCAAGATGTGAGTGCAACCCCTCGTACATCTCATGGACCTTTTCCGGTGGGACCAACCCAACTCCATTGTTCACAATCTTGTCCACGGCCAGATCCTCCATGGTCATCTGCAAACCCTCTGATAGTTTAGGACCAATGACCCTACACTCGGGCATACCCGGTACACCGGGGCGTAACCCGCCCCAATACCCACAAAGTGCATGCCATACATACACATGCTCTATGCTCTTAAACTCCTCCTTAAGGTCCCTCACAAAGGCACCCATGCCCTTGTTGGAGGGTACCCTAGGACTCTGGTAGTCCCTAAACTTGTAATTCTCTTCAAACTTCATTAATCTGCATGGCATTTGTTCACCAGCTTCTGTTCTGTTTATGCCTTCTTGATCAGTTATGGGGTCATCATCATGGCATATGGATTGCCACCCATCATCTATTAGGACCAACCCTGGAGGGCACCCACCCTCTACTAGACCCTTGACCCCCTGCCACACCCCTTCAGGGTGTACCCTAAGATAAAAGGCATCCCAAGTGCACCATCCAAATTTGTCCACAATACCTGAAGACCAAAATTCACTTTAAATGAAATAGTCAAAAAATATATATGATACAAAATTTATGACTCTTCATAGAGTACAATAACGAAACAAAATCTAAGCAATCGATCTCAAAATATCGAGACAAAGATTTGTTGAGTAAGATTGAGTTGAACCTGGAGGACACTTTTCTTCCATAAGCCTAAAGGTCCCCAAATGGACCCTAATGACCTTCATGGCTTCCTTGACCAATTGATATGGGTCATCACCAATATGCATGTACATGCAACTCCTGAAGCTGGAGCTGCTGACATGGCTGGATCCACTCTCCACGCAGATGTCCACGTCATCATCCATGCCAGGCTGCAATGAAGCTCTGAAGGGTCCTTCAAGGAGTGGAAGTAGTAAAACATAGGGGCGTCCCAAGTCGGATTTGTCAAGGATCATCATTTGGGTCTCATGTTCAACATCTGTTCCACCATTGCCAACCCAATGAGTAGTCCACCAGACTTTGAATCTGAATATGCTCATGAACCTTATGTCCCTCAGCTTGCCGGTGGGGACCACGTGCTGGCTTTTTGGCTCGTCTGCATCAAAGCCAACGAAGCATCCGACCATGCTCTTGGACAACAAGTCTTTGGAGGTAAATGGAGAAGGTGTTGCTATGATGTTAGTAGGGACATCAGTGAGAACGGGGTGGCCATTGGCCAAAAATTCTGATCCTTCAAGGGTGATTGACAGTGGTTTCTTATCATCCTCATCCTCATCCACAAGCACCATTACTTCTGGGGCATTTTTGCTCAAGCTTGGAGCCATGAAAGAGAATGGGTTATTTTTTCTCACAAGCTTGTAAATGAGAGAGAGAGAGTTAAGGTGTGAACAATGCAAGAAAGGGAGAGTGGTTTATATAGACAAAATTGAGAGAGAGAAATGGAATCTGAAGGTGGTATATAACGTTAACCTTTAGCAAAGCTTGGTGGTAGTTTGCTTGTGCAGTTGTGCGTGGAAACTAACTACAAGTTGGAATGAATCTTGCTTTCATGGGGCATTTTAGTGGCAACCTTTTTTTGTAACGGTACAACTGTCATTTCGATATCTTCTTTGAAAGGCTGGATCAAATGAAACCCATCTCAAAATGAATAGAAGAGACTATCAAGAGCCTCGATCAATTTGGCCATGCCTGTGAATTCTAGTGTGGAGAACTGTGTGGATTGGGGCTTTGGCCAGGTCGGTGGGGTAACTTAAACCATATGAATATTAAAATCATTAATATTCACAAGAGTATAGTTTCATTAATAAAACATCATAATTCATATACATTAGCACTATACAAAAATAGTCAACAAAAAAAAATACTCATTATAAATTTATTTTAAAGACATACCGAAAAAATTTGAACTAAAAAATTGGGTTTAATCATATATAGTTGAATTTTAACAAACAATCGAAACAAACGTAAACTTAAATATCAATCTGTGTGGGTCCAAAGCTTTTTCATTTTCTATGTGAGGTGCAAGTGAAATTGGGACCTGATTATTTAGGATTTGATTTGAGTAACGTAGCATTTATATATATACATTTCAAGTGACTCTTACTGAACACTTAACTCTAAAAACATATAATTATTTGTAAACCGACATACATTTCGGGTAAATTAGTATATCTTTAACAGCATATTTAACGTTGACTTAAATATAAATTTAAATTTAAAAAAAGAATAAGACACGAAGATGATCCTAACTTGAGATAGTTTAAAGTAGTAACCAATGAAGTCTTTTATCACTGTCTCATGTACTAAACATTGATCGATGTGATACTGTAAAGAATCTCAATTCTTAGGCTGTGATTCAAGATAAGAAATAAAAGATGTCCAACGGATTCGATTGGAGCCACTCTTATCGGAGGTCATAGCTGAGAGATCACAATACAACGAAAGATACAAGTACTTTAATAATGGGATGATCATGTGGTCACAAATCATTGTAAGAATTAGAGCCTTTTGATACAATTTTTTTATGATAGTTGTGTTCACTTTAACGAAAAAAACGTATTTTGAAAATAAAAAAAAAAGGTTATTTGCTGTCTCAAATACTATTTGAGATAGGTCATTACCGCGATAAAGACTTTTGAGACTCCATTTGTTATTAGTTGCCATAATAAGTTGAGTTTTAAAAAGTTTTTATGGTAGCAACAAATCGTCTCAAATAGTATTTGTGATAGTAAATAACTTTTTATGATAGTACTATGGCCATAAATTTTTTTTTTTTTTTCAGAAATACATTTTTTTGTGTGAGAGTGAACGCAGTTGTCACAAAAAAAAACCCTCTTATTCTAGTGAAAGGTGAGGGGGGAGTTCTTTAAAACCTATTTTATTCTTTGGGGGACCACTCAAGTAAACTTCATGGTCTTGGCTATGAGTATGACTAACTTGTAGAATGTTTAAAGATCTTGGAGTTGCTCTTACTTTTCTTTCATGTCTCTTATCGTTCTTTCTCGACCCTTCGTTGCTTTTCTAGACGTTTCCTAGAGTCTTTACTCCATTTTTGTTTGATTCCAATTGATTTTATGACAGGTTTTTATCCGACCCAAAGAACAATATCGTATCATATCATAAAGCAAAGGAAACCCCAATAAATTAAAACAAAGCAAATGTAATAGAATTCATGCAAAAGCTGTCGGTAGTTAGTGATCTTGTCACTAACTTTTGGCATAAGGTGTAGGACGACATAATAGGACTTTGTTCTTTCCTTCTTCCGAGTTGAACGAGAAAGTGTAAAACACAACGTACAAAAAAAAAATGTTACTTTCAATTTAAGAAATATTAGATGTATATAACTTTATTCTTACTTGGGAAGTGATTATTCTTTAACTAGAAGCAATGAGACAATTAAACAAGTTTACATGCATCTGCGACAAAATCCGCCCTCAAGTAAAATTTCATGCACTTCATCTATAACATATGCGACAAGTCTTTGTTTCTTATAACTTTTTGATTGTGTTCTCAAAACCTAAAATAAACATTGACAAGCTCAGATTCAGACCAGGTTTAGATCTAGTTCATGAGTTGAACTCAAATCATCAAAAGACAGGCTAGATTTTGCTCATGACCTCAGTCTAATCCAAAGCTCAAGAATTTAAGAAGAGTTAACGTACGTGAAAGAACAATTATCGGAATAGTTATTACTCCAAGATAGTAATCATTGGAATAGTCATTACTCAAAGATAGTACATATCCCCAACAGTAGCTATCATGTTTGATAAATTAGTAGTTTAACATTCACGTCACCGCCACAACTAGGGATTTGTGTCTATAAGTTGTAAACTCCCTACACATGGGGGCAAATCTCACATACCTCACTTTGAGCATACCATTGTTTTCTCTTTCTCTCTACTTTGTACTCTCTCATTAATAGAGTTCTTCGACTACTGTCGTTGCTTTCAGTAGTTAGGTCAATCAGACTCAATCACCCAATCTTTATCTCTTGCTATTAATTATTTTACATCACACTCGACTGATTTAATTGTACATAAATTTGTTTTTGTGCATCATCAAACATTGGACAATTTAACTAGAAATTGCATATAATTACCAATTTGACATATTTATAGCTGGCTAACCATGTAGAAATATTAAGTAGAGATGCTTTACAAGACAAGTTGTAATGTGAATAATAGTTTCAAACTTATCTCATACATTAATTTATAATAAGTAATAACGTGTGCATCCTAATCCTAAATGAGTGGATGTTCGGATGGTGGGCTCCAATAGCAAAAGTTAATTAGGATGTGAAATTTGAAGCATATAATTACCAATTTGATAGATTTATAGTTGGCTAACCATGTAGAAATATTAAGCAGAGTTGCTTTCAAAGACAAGTTGTAATGCGAAAAGTAGTTTCAAAGTTATCTCATACATTAATGCATAATAAGTAATAATGTGTGCATCCTGATGATGCGCAAAACTGGTCTCATGCAAGATCAACAGTCGAGTATGTGAAGATGTATAATTAATGGATAATAAATAAGGTAACCAATGACAAAACAATAAATATGAGCAAATATGCAGATATATAGTGGTTCGGTTTGAGTGATCTACTCCACTCTCAAAAAACGGCAACGGTGATCGGAGGTCTTTTTATTGATGAATAAAATAACAGAGAGAGATCTTTGTGAGGTATATGCTCTAGGAGAGGTACACTACTTATGAGAGAGAAGCTATATGTGTAGGGCGTGTAGAGAGGCAAAACTCAATGTGAAATGAGATGCCAAGATGTAGAGATGTCTCTCCATGTGGAGAGAGCTTACCATTTATAGGTATGGTGAGGCGGTGACATAAGTGTGAGGGTACTAATTCTTCGAGGAGGATAGTTACAAAAAGTAAGTACAATTAATTCTTGTGTATCCATCCCGATGATCTTTCTCGCACGTACTCATTCTTTCATGGACTCTTTGAATCTTGGACTGGTGAACTAGACTTGGGATGCCTTGTAGTTGATTTGGGCCGACTTGATTTATTGTGCTTGGCCCGGTTAGATTTGGGCTCATCACATCCTAATCCTAAATGAGTGGATGATAGGCTCCAATTGCAAAAGTCAATTAGGATGTGAAATTTGAAAAATAATTTTCCTTTGGTCCACTTATAAAATACCCCCCTCAAAGAATATTTATTTTGAATATTTATTTTATATTGGTCAGTCAATCCCAATATTAAATATAAACATTACAAGTCATAATTTAAATAAGAATTCTTGTGGTATATATTTTCGATGTGTGATTAAATAAAAAGAGATGTTCTATAAAACGATTCCCGGATTGGCCAAAAGAAAATATTAATAAATAATAAGTTGAATGAACTTAGATCAATCAAATAATGATATTTTTATGCAATGATTTAGACTAATTAATTTGTTCATTTAGATTGTATCTATGTGGGAGAACTTGATAAGAGTTTTCATTGGCTTTTGGAGTTCACTCATATAAGTTTTTAGGTCAAAAATCCAATTCAGATATTTTTGAAAATTTATTCGTGAATGAATAATTTTTTTATATCAATAAATCACTATTATTTCAACTTTTAAACCAATGCAGTTTATAGAAAATGAGAAAACATCTAAAGAGGAATAAAGAGAAGTCACAAATATTACATAGTAGAAATCCAAAAGTGGAGAGATAACAAATTAAATCTTGTTTTTGATAAGAATTGACAATTTGGTAACAAAATCTTGCGAGTTAAGAGTAACCAACTTGATTAAAATCAATTGATTTTCTTGAATGAATTATTGAAAATTCAAAAAATAAAAAATTTACAAGGACAATATAGACAAACATCGTGTCTCTGTAATCCAATTTTATGTATAGTAAGATTTGTATGAAGAAAACAAAATATTTATCTCAACAATACTATCTAAAAAGTTAAGAACAGATAGTGTTTTTGTGTTGTACTCTCCTTAATGTGAGAGTTGTCCATTGTTTCATATATATATTGTTGCCATCAATTACAAAGGGTAAATAGCAAGAAAGAAGGAAAGTAATATTACAGACTATGTTTCTGGGTCACTAGCTGTTGGGAGTGATTTAAGGAGGACTTATGTTCTGCTCTGTAATTAAAATGTGATCAAATGACAGCTCACCATGATTTGCTCTTTATTGTTTTGGTTCTTCAGCACCATTAAGGGAATCACTTCCAATACACCCCTACAAACTGAGCTGATTGGTGAGGTTCAGTTTGGCACAAATTCGTTGAAGATTGAACTGGGAAAGAGGGTTGGTGAAGATGTCAGCTAGTTGGTGAAAAGATGAAACATGCTGAGTTTGAAGAAGGCTAAGAGCAACATGTTCTCGGACATAGTGGTAGTTAATCTCAATATGTTTGTTGTAGGCATGGAACACCGGATTGACA